GTTTCGGCGGAAAGTCATTTTAAACTTTCGGCCTATTTTCGGCTTCGGCCGAAATCAGAAAATCACTTTCGGTCGGTCTCTACTTTGAGCTTTTGATTTCGGTATTGGTTCCGGCCGAAATTCACTTTAAGCTTTTGGTTTCGGTTTTGGCAGAAAGCCATTTTTAACTTGCGGCCTAGTTTCAGCTTCGGTCGAAATCAGAAAATCCCTTTCTGGTCGGTCTCTAATTCGCTGTGTAGGGAGCCAGCTTATCCCCCTAAAAAAGACCCGTAAGCCTGGTGATTTCGTCCCGCCAAGTCTGCACCAACGTCACATTGTAACGGACGGATGCCAAGGAAAAGTTTTTTAAATTTATTTATTGTCACGAACTCTGGAAGCATAAAAAAAGTATGGTTACAGTTAGGTAGTTCTGTTATCAATCACCAAAGAAAACAACAGAATCTATACCGGTAATTATAGAGTTACAAATTATCTGCTGACTTTTCAACTATTCATCCTTGTTATGGTGGACACCATTGGCAAGTGGATTATCACCAAGCCAACTGCTGAACAATAGGCAAATAAGAACACTTATTGAAACTCTAGTTCCCTCTCCTGCTGATCAAGCACAGGGACAACATCTTAAAGAAATAGCCGTCCGCAATGGAACAAAAAGAAGTTCTAGTCGATCATTTAACCGGGGAGATCCATGTTACGTCAGAGTATATGGAACAGCAACAGACTCTAAACCACAATGGGCTTCCGGTACAATCATCCAAGTTATGGGTCCACGTCTCTTCAAGGTAAAGATTTATCCAAATGGTCCCATTTGGAAGAGAGATTTAGACCAAATTCGCCCCAGGTACGGAGCAGAAGAAGATTCAGAACCAGGTTTGGATATAATGACAGGAAGTCTTTCTCCAACAGCTCAGGCAGCCCTGAGTCATCAACCGTCTACACATCCAGCAACTCTAAGTCCACCTAAGAAGAAGATTAACCCTCGACATCCAGGACCTTCAGACTATGTCATACCCAGGAGATCTCAAAGACAACGTCGAGCACTTTTGGTACTGGACTTGTAATTGTTCGGGGAGGTGTTATGGTGGACTAGCGGACTGGCCCGTACCGATAGCCAGCCAAGGAAACAGCACGCATGCGCAGAGAGACTATACAGAGAGTGTGTTTATGAACCTTGTTCCGGACGCAAGCAGAAAGTCAGCACCTGATTGAGAACTTGTATTTATGTATATATATGTTTATGTTATTTGTTTGAAATAAAAACAATGAAAACATAACAATTCTCTCTTTAAATCAAAGCATTATTTGTTTTACCAAAATGTATGAATATCCTACTTTAAGGAGATTACTGATAGTTTCCAATAATTATTAATTTCAAATTTTACACAAAATTCTTTATGGTTTTGTACACAATTAATGTTAAAATTACAGCCATAGTTAAGTCTAAATGTCTAAACAAGTCCCCATATTCAGCCCGCTGTGCACCCTACAGGGTTCGCCCAAAAACCCATCTGTGCCCCGCAACAGTGTGCCCCCAATTGTGCGCCACCACTGTGACCCCATCTGTGCTCCTCGTCACTGTGCCCCAACTGTGTACTCCACACTGTGCCCTCAACTGTAGATCCCACACTGTGCCCCAACTGTACCGCTCGACACTGTGTACTCAACTGTACTCATTGAAACGGGCTGCCCCCCCCAACTGTGCCCCTGACACTGTGCCCCCAAATGTACCCCTTGACACTGCCCCCAACTGTGCCCCTTGACACTGCCCCCAACTGTGCCCCTCGGCACTATGCCCTCAACCCAATCAGCACACATTCATTCGCTACATTCATTCCGATAAAATAACAAGATAAAAAAGACCTTACTTAGCAATTGCCAAATTCCGTGCCAAGATCCAGCATGCCGGATAAGTGTCAAGAAATGAATCGACACTTGACACCACAACGAACTAAAGATGGACTATTGTAATTAAATAGAAATAAAGTATGCCTCAAGGAAGTATGCGCCCACTGGTTGAACGAGATAAGGCGATGCACGATAACTAGGTTAAGTGAGCTGCTTAAGTGCAAGTAAAAGTATTATTGTCTGCAATTAGCCACTGCCGAATATTTTTGGTTCCCCGTAAGGTCAAGATGTGTGCTTGAGTGATAGGTGCGGGCGAGGTGAGGGTCGCGAATGTCCAGTAAACATCCAAGATCACGTTAAGAACTTGAAGAGTTTAATTACTCTATACATGAATTCACAACAGTAGAGTCGGCTTGACTATGCATGGATAACCATAGTTTAATCAGCGGTCTCATTTCTGGTAAAAGATCTTTCTCTCCATTTCAAATACATTTCAGATTCAATAATCCCAAGCTATCGCCTTCTATCTAATACTTCCTTCATGGTGTATGAGGTACTTTACGGAGGGGTAGCTCCTATGTATGTGAAGCAGTCTTTTTCCCTTTGGGGTAGCTAATCAATCTTTGGTCCTCGCAGTGTGCTCAGCTCCCAGCTGTGGCTCACAGAAGCTGTAGTATGCACAGGGGCCACTCAAAAGAAAACGGCTTCGCCTAGCCGGTAAAACCAGGTCGAAGGTAGCGGACAAAACCAGGACGACGGTTAGCCGAACTACTTCACGTCTTCGGTGAACAAGAGCCTGTCCCCGCAGGGCATGAAGACTGTATCAGGAGGATTGCACGGAGGAACCAAAATCTGGTCAGCGGGCAGATATGCGGGGACAGCAAGGTAATGTGAGTAGCTAAGAGCATGGCGAGACACGAAGAACGTCACGGCCATTCACTGCACTCTACTCTATCCCGTCCTTGGCCGTCCAAAAGAGTGGGCGAAAGAGTGAGGTTGACGAGTCACGCAACTATTCCTCAGTTAAATCCTAGTCATAGCGCAGGTCTTTTTAAGCATCCATCAATGTTCCCATCCTAGTTGTGTGCATCGTCTACCAATTCCCGTGGCGATCGGTAAGCGGCAGGTGTGGGTACACTGGCAGTTGTGGAGACACTGGCAGGTGTGGGTACACTGGCAGTTGTGGAGACACTGGCAGGTGTGGAGACACTGGCAGTTATGGGTACACTGGCAGGTGCGGAGACACTGGAAGGTGCGAGGACACTGGCAGATGCGGAGACACTGGCAGGTGTGGGTACACTGGCAGGTGTGGAGACACTGGCAGTTGTGGAGACGCTAGCACGTGTGCCGCCATTCGCACCCGGGTCCCATTTGACCAATGCTATTCAGATGTCATTTGTGGTAGTTTATTTTAGTGAAGCCGAAGAAGTAAGTTTACAATCATATAGTACATTCAATTATCTTTCATTTGAAACCTCATTTTGTCTTACAAACCCAACAATAGTATTTTAAATAGCTTTTTTAAATCCCAACCTCTCACTTCTGGTACCCGGGTGCAAATAGTCGCAGCCTTAATCGAAATCTTAGTTCACATAATTCTTTAATTTTTTTTCTGCTAGATTAACTTTTAAAAAAATCCGTGCAAATAGGTGGGGCACTTTGTTTATTATTTTGATATTTAAAAAGAAAAAAAACAAAACATTTCGGAATTTAATTAATATAAGCTAATTATTTTAGTTTAAAAACTCTGTTATCCAGGAAGCTTTGTTACAAAAGTAGCACATTTAAAGGAAAAAAAAACATTTGCGTTTTAATAATAATTGATGACACATGCACTATTTGTCATGTTAAATTCTAAATTTAAAAATAAGCAACAGATTTTTTTGAAGTTTTCATTTGACCTCTCGTTCAACATTCATAGAATCGAGTACATTTAAAAGTATGCTAACAATAATAATTTTTTTTTGTTACAGCCAAACGCCATCATACAATTTATAATTAACACCTGTCGCCCATCACTAGCTTAAAAGTCATACTTTTATAACAAAATATCATTTGAAAATTGATCGCACATGTTCTGGTTCTGGTAGTGTTTCGTTGCTGCATCCATGTACTGGCATCTTTGCAAATGGTTGGGGGTATGATGTTGCTATTATAACAGCTCTTAGCAGATCCCAGGGCAGTCTTGAAGCTTTCGACCAATGTCGAGTTCACAGTGGCATCGTCCAGCTGGTTCCATGCTATTATTGTGCGTGGGAAGAAAGATTTTTGATACTGCACTGTGTTGCACTGAGGCACTTTGAAGCATTTGCTATTGTTTGGGGGTGTAATTGTTTATGGGAACTTGGCAAGAACTATTGTGAAATATGTAGTCCTCAAGATTGATAAAAAGGTAGTTTATTACAGTATTTATTACAGTGTTATTAAAGTATTTAACTTGCGAAGGTGCACAAAATATATATCATTAAAATCATCGATATTTGCGAACAACGGGAAGTCAAACTTCGGCTTACAACCAAAAGCGGGCAATACGATTTTTATAATCGAATATTGTAATTCTGTAACAAGATAAGCCTTAAATAGTTCATCAAATTAGTCGAGCGTAGCGATATTTCATATATTTCACAAGTTGTAATCGATTAAAGGCACCAGATTCTAGTCTCTAAAAACTTTTTTTTTTATAATGACGATCTATTAAAAAAAAATACAAATTATATAATAGTTTTATTGTTGTACACGTTTTTACTTGGGGGAGGGGGGCACTTGATTTGCTCCGGCAGGGGGCAGTGTCCCACCAATGTGCGCACACGTCCTTGAAACAAATTTTATTAACATCTTTCAACCAATGGGCGCATACGTCCTTCAAACAAACTTTTATTATTAACATTGTTCAACCAATGGGCGCTCACGTCCTTGTGACAAACTTTTATTCTATTTCATTACAATGCTCACTTACCCCCCCCCCCCCCCCCCCCCCCCCCCCCCCGTGCCTCTACCATTCTTGTTGAAGGACCTGCTAAAAAAATACAGAGAAAAGCGGATGTCCAATGAAAAGGTGACCTTCGAAGAATTAAAAAAACAACAAGAATAAAAACAAACCTTTATGAAAAACCTGCAGCAAACGTATAAAAGGCGGATACAGATTTACTGCTGGCCAGATCAGAGAAATGGCGCAACTTCGAGGCAGCAACGCTTACGTTGTCAAAGTCCACACTGGGAACGGGTTCAAAACCCTGACAGGTGACGTCAACGTGGTCATCAAGCTCTACGATGATTTGAATCACAGCAGCGAGAAAATTCATCTTAAAACTGATTTAGATGAGAAGGCCCCTTGTACTTTCACGATTCCCGGCCGGGACACCAAACAGCTGAACAACAAAGGGAAGATATCCATGATAGAGTTCTGGCGAGACAGCCTGGAGTTGTACAACGATAGGTATCTGGACAAAATTGAAGTGGATAATGTGAAGACCAAGGAGACATTTGTTTTTCCAGTTTTCCGCTGGGTGAAACCCAACACGTGTTATCAGGTCAGACATCTTGATACGTCACTTCCGCAATACGATGATGACGCTCAACAAGAGCAGAGGAGAACCGAAATTGAGGAAAGGAGAAAGGAGTACGTTCTGGATCAAAAGTTTCCAAATGGTCCCATTCAGGTAAAACTTTAAAAAATAAAGAAATAAATATTACAAACACAGATGACCACTGATTTATGGCAAATATCCACACACAACAGCCAGAGTAATGAAGGCGTTAATATCAATCATTTACAAGGGTTCCTCCTTCATTGCCCAGCACAGTTTTTCGTTCACGATTTTTGTCAAATGGTGCAAGCATGCCGCTAATTGCATTGTCCTATTGGATTGGATAGAAATGAAGTCTTATAGTAAACTAACGGCAAATAATGGAGGATTGAAGGAACACTGTGTGCCCAATTTAACCTGCACTATTTGGGGGGGGGGGGGGGGGGGGAAGGGGGCGTTGGACCTTTTTTTCAAAGCCCGTCTACTAAATTACAGGGGCGTTGTGTCGTAAGTTCGCCCGTTAACTAAGATATGCACCAAATCATTAGCAACATTCTCTTTCAAATCTTACCCAAGAGACCTGCAACTTTACCTTTTTTTTCATTGCGGTAATTTTAGACCCGTTCGTTGATTTTGTTTATTACCTATATATATATTATGTATTTAAATCTTTGCTTTACAAACGAAAAATACACACACACATACACATTAACGCAGGCACGCGCGCACACAAACACACACACACACAGACACACACACAATGTTGATAGAATTAAACATCCGAATGTTCAAATACTGACGCTGAGAGGCCCCCAATGCGAGGACCAGTTCTAATTTTTTTTCTTAACATATTTCAGGTTAAGCAGCTGCCTCGCATAGAGGATTTTTCATGTAAACATAAGCTCACTTTGATTTATTTTCGAGCGCGTCTAGAAATAATGAAATATCTAGATAACATTTTCTCGGGCCCGTGGCACAGCATCGAGGACAGACTGAACGTGTACTCGGACATAGGCTTCCCCGTGCCAAAGGTAGGTTGAGGTAAATTAGTGGTAAGCAAAGATGAACCTGAAAATATAAATACACAAGTTTAAAGCGTGTATTTAGCTGACAGATTTTTTTGGAGAACTGTTATTTTTAATTTGGGAATGATCGCTCTGTCATTTTGTAATTCCAAGAGCGTGCTTCGGAGAATATATAAACAGACATAGAGATTTTGACACATTTTATTATATGAAGAAAAAAATGAATGAAAATGTTTTAGACATCGTGTTCATTTTGATCGGCTGACCTTTCACCTTGTGGCATTTCTTGTTAGTTTGTTTATGTCATTATATATGTTACTAGATGGAGCCCGCCAAACATGGGTGACAGCAATGCGTGAACTTCCCATCTACTAAAGTGACTTGACAACGTGAACTCAAGTTACACACATTTGAGAATCCCAATATTTGCTACACCCTCGCGCCACCCCCGTTTTTTCATGATACGTCGAGGCACACTTTTTATTTCACGCCGACCCGTGGCTTAGCATTCGCCGCGAGCTGGCTGGAAAGCGAGGGAGGTGCAGGAGTGGGGTGGGGTATTTCCACCGCAGTGCGCATGTTTCCAGATCAACGGTTGGCGGACAGGCAAGGGAAGGGAGGGTTTGCCTGCGCCTGCGTCTTGCTTGCTCTGATGTATCTATATATAGCCTGGGTGGTTGTCTTGGTCTTCTTGTTTGCCCTAGTTTCTGGTAAATTATATATATAGATGCAATGATATATAATTTTTTAATACACCTTCTTAACACTAGGCAAATGTAGGTAATGTGTTTACCTAAATGCGTGTATTGATTTGAAACAATGAAAAAAATAAGAAGAATAAGAGAACGTTTTTTGTATATATCCTTATCAAAATGTAATCTTGCAATGGGGGTTGGGGCTGAAAACTTGAGAAAACATACATACAAGTAACGCACTTTATAAGAATCCGAATTAGTGCTACAACTACATTAGTATTCCAATGACCCATCCGTTTGAACGTCGCAGATTCCCCCCCCCCACCATTTCATAAAACAAAAGAAAAAATTACGCACCAAACGCATTTGCAATACTTTGTTTTCAGAAACTCATTTGGCGCAGTATTCGAATTAGGGCTACAACTACATTAGTATTCCAATGACCCATCCGTTTGAACGTCGCAGATTCCCCCCCCCCCCCATTTCATAAAACAAAAGAAAAAATTACGCACCAAACGCATTTGCAATACTTTGTTTTCAGAAACTCATTTGGCGCAGTATCGGGAATTTTACTTCTTGTTCCAATAGAAAAAAAGGAAAAAACAAAATTGGGGGTTTTGGGTTGAGGGGCTGAAAATCTAATCATATGTGTAGTCATCAGGTATGAGTCTATGTGCCAAGATTTGAAGCTCAATTGTTTGACGGGAAGCCGGTTAATTAGCTGTCCGAAGAGTTTTCCTGCCACCCAGCCAGCCTAGCCACCCACGAGCAAATGCGAAGTTAATATCAATGATTAAAAAATGTTTGTCTGAAATACTTCGAGAGTAACCCACCCTTATTTCAAAAAAAAAATAAAATGCAATATAATTCTGTATTTATATATATTTCTATGGTCAGAATGCTGAGGCGTGGAAGGAAGATGTGAACTTTGCCATGCAGCGTGTAGCAAGCGTCAACACGTCTTTGATCAAACTGATGACGTCAGTCCCAGAAAAGTGAGTTGTTGTTGTTGTGTCCTCTCGTACCCGGAAGGCGCCGCTGGTGGGGGGGGGGGGGGGGGGATATATTGGGAGATCATCTCCTTGATGTTTTAAATTCGGTATGGTTGTTTTAATGAGGGGTTGTTTTTTTTTTTTCTGCCACTGACGATTATGCTCATGGCCATCAAGTCGTTGCACGAGTATAATGAAAAGTTATTGGAGTCCTTCCACGTCATCAGCAGAGTGAAGTGTCTCTTCGTTCAGATTACCCCGTGTCTTGCGCCATATTCTTCTCCGTAGTTTTTTTTTTTTTTTTTGCTCTATGGCTTTGAAATTGCGACCATAAAGAGTTGTTTACCACCAGGTCTAACTGAATCGCCCATCTCTTTGCCAAGACCAGGTCTAATTGAGTTGCCCATCTCCGCTCCAAAACCAGGTCGAATTGCTCCGCGCCAAGACCAGGTCGAATTGAGTCGTCCATTTCTGTTCCAAGACCAGGTCTAATTGAGTTGACCATCTCCCCGCCAAGACCAGGTCTAATTGAGTTGCCCACCTCTGTTCCAAGTCCAGGTCTAATTGAGTCGTTCATCTCTGTGCCAAGACCAGGTCTAATTGAGTTGCCCATCTCTGTTCCAAGACCAGGTCTAATTGAGTTGACCATCTCCCTGCCAAGATCAGGTCTAATGTATTCGCCAATCTCTGCGTCAAGACCAGGTAGAATTGAATCGCCCATCACTGCGCCAAGACCTACATAATTATTGAATGGCCTTGTGGCCATGTACTTTGGTTAAACTTTTAAGAAACAAATATATCTTAAAAAAACATTTTAAGACAAACTTTCTATCAAATTCGAGTTGAAACATACTTCAATGTAGAAAATAATTTACAATTCCTATATATGTATTATACAAAGAAAGAATGTGCGGAAGTGTAGATGAGCACTCTATGACGCCAAAGGATTCGAATTGAATGTAGACGAAAGATAAATATTTTTTTTAAATTTTTAAATTAATTTTTAAAAATTTTTTATGCGCATCATTTCATTGCGTAATGCAGAAAGTATAAGTTATTTTATAATTTAATATATTTTTACTCCTCTTTGATAGAAATTCTTTATAAAATTCTTTTTTTTTTCGCTACTTTTTGTTAATGAAATATGCAATCTTTAAATTATTGTCGCAAGTAGATTAGACTATTTACTTTTTTTTTTTTTTTTAAAGATTGAATGCTTAAAAATTTCTGGCTAAAGTGACTTAACCCTTTATCTGGGCGTACAACTAAAAGTAGATCAGAGCTCACCTACTCAGCGAAGCAGACATGGTCAATCATGAACATTTGAGTGACAGTTTCAAACCGTCTCCGTGGTCCAGTCGTTCACTAGGTGAACACGACATGAGAAATCTAAAAATGTCATGCTAAAAAAAACCGCTCCATCCACAAGTTGGAAATTCAAGTAGAAAGAAAGTCTATACAAATGAGTCGACACTGAATCCATATTCCTATACAAATCTTAAATATTTTCCGGGAAGAATGAAATATTAAACTAACTTTTCTATTTAAAAAAAGGGCATATTGACTACTGCATTTGCCACACTCACCCTTAAGTTGTTCTGAATGCGGACGATGAAGCCATTTTGTCAAATCCACATTAAAAGGATTGTGGGAAGGGGGCGTAAATGAGTACTCGCCCATAAACTTCAACATCAGGGGGGGGGGCGTGCCAAAATAGTCTTTAGACTGTACCTGAATGGTGAATTAAAATATAAAAATCCTTTTGTACTTCGCTAAAGCAAGGGGCGACCAAAATTGCATTTTACTGATCCACGGGGCTTACATATTTTTGCTTTAACGAGGGGCGCCATTCTCATGTTTCACATCTGGCGCCGGCTTACCTCATCACGCCCCCCTGCACCCCAAGGACTACATCAGCTTGTACAGCTGCCTCTCTCATCCCTGAAAAGAGTTTTAAATGGCAAATTTAGATGAACAGGAAAACAAAACATGAAAGAAGCGATCGAGGGGTACAACAAGGTCCTAGATACTTTGCATCCACCGTAACCAACCTGTTCGGCATTGATGAAGATGGGAACAGTCCAAAAAAAAAAAAAGATTTAGCAATGGGTTCTTGGCCAAAGCCAACACAGAGGCCTAAGCCAACACAGAGGTCTAAGCCAACACAGAGGCCTAAGCTGTGCGGGATCAAGAAGGGTGTCGAAACGAGAGCTGGGGATCGAACTCTCTTTTCAAAGTTAGGCTTCGGTAATAACTTAATATCGGGTTTGGTTTGATAGACCCTTAATTTGTTTTTTGTTTTTTTCCGGTAATAACTTAATATCGGGTTTGGTTTGATAGACCCTTTATTTGTTTTTTGTTTTTTTCCGGTAATAACTTAATATCGGGTTTGGTTTGATAGACCCTTAATTTGTTTTTTGTTTTTTTCCGGTAATAACTTAATTTCGGGTTTGGTTTGATAGACCCTTAATTTGTTTTTTGTTTTTTTCCGGTAATAACTTAATTTCGGGTTTGGTTTGATAGACCCTTAATTTGTTTTTTGTTTTTTTCCGGTAATAACTTAATTTCGGGTTTGGTTTGATAGACCCTTAATTTGTTTTTTGTTTTTTTCCGGTAATAACTTAATTTCGGGTTTGGTTTGATAGACCCTTAATTTGTTTTTTGTTTTTTTTCCGGTAATAACTTAATTTCGGGTTTGGTTTGGTGGCAACTTAGTTTCATTATTTTTTCTCCCAGTAACAACTTAATTGCGGGTTTGCTTCGGTAAGTTCGGCAAATATCACAATTAGAAATCAGCATAGTGTTAACTTTAATTTAAATAATCGATATATTATATTTATAAACATAAACTTCACTGGCAAAAATAAGAAAATACATTTGCAGTAGACCAAATAGAGCATCGAGATTTATTGAACAGCCTAAAGACGGAGTCTAAAGTATATTAAATAAATAGTGAAGCATAAATGTGTCCTGGGTTGATTTTGATCGTAAGGACGATTTAAAATGGCTAACCAATCTTCTTAACCCAGTGGTTCTCAACCTTTCTGATGCCGCGACCTTTTAATACAGTTCCTCCTTTTGTGGCGACCCCCAACCACAAAATTATTTTCGATGATAATTTATAACAGTTGAGTGTATGTGTTTGCCGATGGTCTGAGGCGACCCCCGTGAAAGGGTCGTACGACCCCCAAAGGGGTGGCGACCCACAGGTTGAGAACCGCTGTCTTAACCGATTGTGTGTGTGTGTGTGTGTATGTGTGTGTGCTTTTTTAAAAACAATACTAGTTCCAGAAAATGGATGAAAACGGGTCAACTTCTTTTTTCTATATTTGAAGGCTCGCCATCAATTTATTGATCATTCTGGCGCCTCGTTTGAATTTACAGCTTGCCTTCTCTTAGATGGGCTGTCGTCCAAAATCACTTTGAAATAACTACACTTTCTAGTTTGAATTAAGATCTACAGCCATAACTCTAGCGGAAGTCGTGTCGTGACGCATTCGTCTACAGCCATAACTCTAGCGGAAGTAGTGTCGTGACGCATTCGTCTATAGCCATAACTCTAGCGGAAGTAGTGTCGTGACGCATTCGTCTATAGCCATAACTCTAGCGGAAGTCGTGTCGTGACGCATTCGGAAAAACAAACATTTTCGTTTTTTTTTTTTAAAATGTGTGATATTTTCGTTTGGTCAGTACTCAGTGACGTTGAAGTTCGGGTTCGGCTCACCGTCAGCAGCGTTTAGAGATCGGAGTGCTCGGCTCGGATTCGGTTCGACTCCCATCTCTGGTTGAAACGGGTCGTATCGACCGAGGGGCGTGGGAGGTGAAGGTGTGACATCGAGCGACAGGTGTTGATTCAATGAGTGGCATAAGTCATGTCAAAACTGGGTTAGGGTTTTAAAAAAAAAAAAAAGTTAATCCAAATATATTTTTGCACTTGAAAAGTTTACCCATAAAACTTAACTGTGCACTGTTGACGTCATGTTAGTATTAACCTCGTTTAAATATTGAAGGTTCCCAGTGACTGACAAAATCTTGAGTCCATTGCTGCAAGGACTGAGCGTCCGTGACGCCATAAAGCAAAAGAGATTGTTCGTCTGTGACCTTGAAATATTGGACGGGCTGCCAGTGAAAGACAATTTTACGGTAAGATAAGTTTGACAGTGTGATTACTAAAACCTAATTTACGCCGTATAAGTTGGGATGTTACTACTCCTTAGTGACCCCCCCCCCCTTTCCATGGGGGTTGTTATTACTTCTTAGGACCCCCCCTTTACATGGGAGAGGCTACTACTCCTTAGAGACCCCACTTTACTTGGGGGAGCGGGGTTGCTACTACACCTTAGGGATCCCCCTTATTTCCTTTCCAATAAACTGGGTTATGGTCTTTCTCAACTTTATCCTTTTAAAGGATTTCACTATTTTAAACACATCTTTAAAACCCTATAAAATAAAAGTTAATCAAATTTTGGTACTTTCATTCAATTTGTTCCAGGGCAACCATTAAGGTAATTTTCGTTTGTTGTGAGTTACTATTCAAAATTGATTTAAATATGTATGATTGTCTGTCCCCAGTTGTGTGCCCCTATTGGCCTGTTCTTTATGGACGACTCCAGTCAACTCAAACCAGTGGCCATTCAGTTGTTTCAGGAGCCAGGGCCAGACAACCCGGTGAGACTAACAGTTTTAAAATTACTAGTATATTCGCTGGTACTACACTTCAAACTTTCAGACACTTTCTGGAAGCGTTGAATACCAATGCCATCCTTCTGGCTGGTGGCAAAGACACCGACAGTAAACTATATTTAATTGCATTTTAAGAAGAGATAAGAAGGCAGGCGTTAAGTGACATTAATACTTCACTAAAACAAAAGTTCCAATACTAAATTTTCACACTTTTAGAATAGTCTGCACTTATCTCAAATCTCTAACAATCGTTATAATTGTAAGAGACCCAGACGACTAATGGCTGTATCTTTACAATTCCCAATTATGTTATCCAAAGAACTACGAAACCTTTTCTTTTTTTTAAATTATTGTAAATACAACTGTGGCCAAGACCGTGCGAATTAAAAGTTGTGTCCAGGGGCCAAGCCTATAACCACCAAACCATTTTTACCAATTGTTAATGATACATACACAGTTTTATTTAAATTTTCAAATGTTATGGTTAAGTGTGTTAAAATTTGGTTCGCTCAAGTTGGCGCCAGAGGTAAGAGCCCCTTTCGCCCCCCCCCCCTTTTTTCCCTCGCATTATATGGTAGTATAATAATTTTTTTATTTTTTTTTCCACTTTCAGATCTTCACCCCAGGATGTAATGTCTGGACCTGGAATATGGTTAAAATGTGGTACAATAACGCTGAATCGTTCTACCATCAGTCATTGACCCATCTGGGTGTGTATCTTTTGTATACTGTATGCAGTAAAATATTAATTAAGTTAAAGTGAACACTTTAAGGTATCACTTTTCCAGAGCAAACTATTTTTTTTTTGGTACTAATATGTGTGACGCTACTTGATAGATGAACTTAAAAGATATATTCTACTTAGTATTTACCGGCCTTTCCCAGGTCTGACCCACCTCATGATGGAGTCATTCGCCCTGGCGACTGAGCGTAATTTGTCAGTCTCCCATCCTGTGTACAAACTGCTGAAGCCACACTTCCTGGACCTAATGGCTATAAATAAGTAAGTCTGATTGTGTAAGGCTCTTAACATCAAGGGCGATAGGCAACTTCGATGGTGTTTTTGAGAGGGAGATATTTGGTGCTATTTAAAAAGAAAATGGCTACCGCGGCCACCCACCTGAGCCGAATTGACGCTCTTCTTCACCCTTACATCTCATACATTTGGCGGCTTCAGTTATTAATCCACCCATCCCCGTGGCGCTACTTGCTTTGGCCTGCCACACTACTTCGTTCCACTCAGACCCAACTAATGCTTTTCTTTTCAATGCCTTAGTTCCCAGCTGTTGTAGATCTTTTTTCCAAATCATCAGTCCATCTAAGCCTAGGTCTGCCTTTAAACCATGTTCCTCTCAGGTTTTGATGATGCCCCTCTTCACTCCTTGTCATTGTCATCAACTCCAATTATTGATTTAACTATAAAAAAATGGCGGCCCTTGGTTGTTGTTTTTTTTTTTGGGGGGGGGGGAGGGGGGTCTTTTACCGGCTTTGTTGCCCTCGTCATTCACCTATTGTTTCGCCTCTGCCATCTATCACTGCTACGTCAGCCCATATTATATGTTGCTCTTCTTCCAAACAATTACTACCCCCTCCATCGTTCCATTAGTTTACTAAAATCACATAAATGACCAAATGTTTAACCATGTACGAGCTAGTGTAATTCAACTTGTTCAACTTTACTCACCATGTTTCAACCAATCAACAATGTGAACAATAATTAATAACCGAAATAAAACATTAAATCTCCATAGCGATATATTTAAATATATGTTATCATTCAAATCTTGGCACTATCCCATATGTACATATACATTATAATTCAAATGGCTCTCTCCTACATGTACATATATATTATCATTCAAATCTTTGGCTCTATCCTTAATGCACATACTATAATTTAAATGGCTCTGTCCTACATGTCCATATATATTTACCATCACATCTTGGCTCTATCCTAAATGTTATTATATTATTGCTACAGCCTGGCTATAACTACGCTTATAAATGATGGTGGCTGGATTGATAGGGTCACAAACGCTGGCCACAAGGGACTCCACGCTGTCATTGTGAAGAGGTAAATTAGTCTCTCAGTGGTAGTCAGTGTTTTTTTTGTTTTTTTAAATAGTTAAAATTCAATGCACATTTAATCGAAATAACCGACCAGACAATGGCAGCAGCAATGCGTGAGCTTCCCATCTCCCAAAGTTACTTGAAAAAAACCAACAACATTCAAATAACGTACTTGATAAGAATCCCAATACGTGCTAACTTCTATACATTTTATTTTCCCATCATCTTGAACATAGCGTTACCGCCATAATGACACATACCTCAAGAATTGCTAGTTGTTGTATATAAATTTGTTCTATTTCGCTTGCTTCGTGCAAAGACCAAGGTAAAATAGGTGTTGATTCGTGAATTTCCGTTCGCTGACGATGCCGCCTTTACATCGCTCGCAGAAAAAGTTCTGCACATTGCCTTCCATATATAACTATTGAAGGCCACAATCTGTTTTTAGTTGAGAATTTCACATATTAATATCTCTGGCTCACTCTCCGATGATGAAGAGGTGAGCATCCGAATAACAAAAGCATTAGCAACTATGGCTCGTTTGATGACGTGGGGGTGACATGATTTGTCAGAAACTGAAAGTACAAAACTAAGCGTCTATTAGGCAATTAGGCAATTAGGCATCTTTGCTCAATACGCTCCTGTATGGCAGTAGAGTGTGGATCACATATGCCAGGCATATGTGCTTAGTAAACTCCTATATGGCAGTGCAGCGTGGACCACATATGCCAGTCATGGGAGGAAACTCAAAAGCTGCTACCAAAGATGCCTTGCGTCACATTTGCGCATTCGATCGCAGGACAAAGTACCTAACATAGAGGTCCTTGAACTTGAAAAAAATGTGTGTGATGTTCTCCGCTCTTAGCAAGAGGCGCCTTCACTGGTTAGGAAAAATGGAGGAACGCAGTATTCCAAAAGAATTTGCTGTACGGAGAGTTGACAGAAGGGACAAGACCTATTGGAAGGCCGCAGGTTCAATTTGAGGACTTTTGCAATAGGAGCATGATGGAAGCCGACATAGTGATCAACGAATGGGAGATCACCACTGAGCACCGTTCCAGCTGGCGAGAAGCAGTGTATGAAGAAGTCAAACAGAAGCCCTTACTCCAAACAGAGCAATACGGAAGGCCAAATTTAACCAGCAGTCAAGGTTTTCTTGTGAAAAAGTGCAGCCGAGACTGTCATTCCAGGATTGGTCTCGTAAGTAATTTGACGAAGTGTTCACTTGTGACTTCATTGTCTCTCGAAGAGGAAGATTACCAGCTGTGATTGCGCAGATGACTAATGAGACCAATTATATAATTATATATATATATATATATACAAAGCTTTATATTCATTATACAATCATGGCATATGTCCATGTCTACGTGACGTAGTTGATGCATGGATGTAAACTAGAAAACAACCGGAGAGTTCCTGTTAGCTCATTTTTCTATATATTTTTATTAACAAAAATGTTTAAAATGTACATGACGGCATTTTGACATATACTTGTGAGCTTTGCCTCTGACAAGTCTCCTTCCATTATATCTCTTAATTAATAATAAATACAGAGGTATAGGCGTATTAAACAAGAAAAAAATTAAATAAATTAAACATATTTATCATATTAATATGGAGATACAGTTGCTAGTCGAGCGATGGGTCAACAGTAGTAATTCTTCTGGTGACTTTCCCAAAAACTGTATAACAAAGTAAGAGCATCAAGTTCCATCATTGAATACAATACACGACGCTGAAAAAATTAATTAATTTGTTTGTATCCAACAGATTGGAGACCTGGAAATTAGATATTGACGGGATCTTGCCACAGGATCTGAAAAAGAGAGGCGTATGTTAGATTCAACAATAGAGTAACATTCATCAGGCATTTTTCACAAATATATAAAGGTTAAACAAGGGCTTATCCGGAATGATTGCCCAATAGCCAAACAAAATCTCCCCCCCCCCCCAAGTCAAAATAAGTGCGTGGGTGTACTCCAATAATGCCAAACTTATTTTTGTTTGTTTTAAATTTGGGTCGTAATCAGGCGTTAAGTGTGCCCTCTCTGTGCGCCCCCTTGTGTGCCCCCTTGTGTGCCCCCCTGTGTGTCCTCTGTGCTCAGGTTTTTTATGGGCTACTGGCTAAAACTCATCTTTACTAAACGCTAAGGTTAATAGTCTCACTACCANATATATATATATATATATATATATATATATATATATATATATATATATATATATAAATTATAAAAGATACGATAAATAAGTGTCCTGTATTTATTAAACAAATTTTTTCCAAATTTCCCCTTTGAAATTTTTGGGTCCTTTTAAATTTTAAAGTTCAGGCAGGTCTAAAATTAACAACCGATTGTGTATGTTTATGTTCAAAACACAGCTGGATGACCCCAGTGTCCTGCCCTGCTACCACTACAGAGAGGACGCCACCTTGCTGTACAGCGCCATCAACAGATATGTCTGTGATTACCTGCAGCTCTACTACCGTAAGTTTAACAAATGCCATTACACATAACATTCAATTTTAACCCATTTTTTTTTGTATAAAATTACTATACAATTATGGAAAATTAATTGTAACTCGAGTTCCATGAAGAAATGCAGTCTTGTATTGTCTTTACTTTGGGAATTTATTCAGATTCATTGATAAAAAATGTGAACTTATGTTTAAATAAAAATCACCAAAAGTCAACCCAATTGGAGTCAACTGTTCTAACAGAGTTAGTGAACATGGTCTGTGTTAACATAGCCTAAGTTAACATGGTCCGAGTTAACATGGTCTGTGTTAACATAGCCTAAGTTAACATGGTCTGTGTTAACATGTTATGAGCTAACATGGTATGCGTTAACATGGTATGAGTTAACATAGTATGAGTTAACATGGTCTGTGTTAACATGGTATGAGTTAACATGGTCTGTGTTAACATGGTATGAGTTAACATGGTATGCGTTAACATGGTATGCGTTAACATGGTATGCGTTAACATGGTCTGTGTTAACATGGTCTGTGTTAACATGGTCTGTGTTAACATGTTATGAGTTAACATGGTACGAGTTAACCTTTAATGCTCTTAGGCGCACCGAAAGATCTGAGTGGAGACTATGAGATTCAAAGTTTTGTTCAGGAACTTGTCAAAGAAAAAGATTATGCCAAAGGTGGCATGGGAATAAAGGTAAGACAATCTTAGATGAATATCCCCATAGATACTCTTTACAATTTTTGTAAAATATGGCCTTGGAAATTTTATTAAGCAATGTCTCATCTGATGACATACGCCTTCGAGACACACCTCTCATCTCAACTCAATAAACCTCTCTCTTCTAGCCAGTGGCGTAGCAAGGGTTGTGCCCCCGGTGCTGTAAACTCATGGTGTCACCTCACTTTCCCCCCGACTTCCACTATGAATTTCTTCTTGTTACAATAAGTCCATAGTATAAAAATAACAAGAACGAAAAAAAAATTAATTGTAGGTCAGGAGGTAAGTGTAATTAAGAACTGTAACAATTACTTAGAATCACCCATTGGTATTAATTGAAAGATTTATTTCTCAGAATTTAGATGAATATAGATTCCAGTCACTTACAGAAGTAACCGAACACATCCATCGGCGTTGTATCATGATTACAAAGTTTTTTCGACCTAATTATAGGATCATCTCATTTCTGACGCATCAACCTTGAAATTGTAATAAAGCTCACATTTAGAGTAGTGACATGCATGGAAAATGTACGTGTGATCGGATATCCTTTCATGACATTCGGTTAGATCGAGCTGTGTATGCTCTGTAAATATGTAGCTTTTCAATTTCGTGTCACCCCCTCAGATGGTGTCACCCGCACCCCTAGCTACGCCTCTGATATAATCGATTCAATCCTACCAATACTCCTTCTCTACCCCAACTCTACCACTTTCTCCATCTACATAATTTATTTTAGAAATTTAACGATTAAATGACGAGTGCCTTGTTTTAATGAAGGATCTCGCGTCCAACAATTTTATACTTTCAGCTTTTGTAGTATGTGATGGATTGTTATTTTGTGCGTCTCAATACAATACAATCCAATCCTTGTCAATTGGATTACGTTTATTAAATAATCCGCCATTCGTTAATGGAAAATTTTAATTCTGAAAAATTACATATTTTTTCAAATAAATATTGAGTACTCTGTATACTTGAATAAAAGCAAATACCTTATAGAGTACTTGAGAGAAGAAGGAAACTTCCTATGGAATACGAGAGAAAAACACTACAGTAACACTGATATAGGAAATAATTCTAATTGCGTTACGTGCTGCTGCCTATATGGAGAAATCAATCTCTTATTTTAAGCTTATGGCTCGTTCTAAACAGTAAATAAGAAACGACGATACCATATGAGACATACAAAAGCGAAAGAATACGAAACTCAAAACAGGACTGACTACAATTAATAAGATTTATTAAGGTTACCATTAAATTACAAAATAAAAGAAATATAATTAAAATCACTAACGTACAGAGTACTGTATTGCTTTTACCGGTACACAGTTGATAATAATACAATGTGTCAAAAAAAGAAAAAAAAAGGTGTAGCGATAAATAGGAATTCACACATATAAGCAAACACAACTCTAGCAAGAATAATACACTCTAAAAATAACTCTCGTCTGTCGTCCCGTAATGTAAAAATATCTCGTGATAAATGCTCGCTCAAAAATCTATCGTGTCCCCTTTTTATAGTCTGTTCAACTGATTTATCTAGGACCGCCTTTCGCCTTGATTTCCTTTCCAGTTTTCTCCAGATTATTCTACAGAAATCTGATAGATTCAAAGTATAAATTTTATTTAGGGTCAAGAGACTATTTTTAGCTAGCCACACCTTAAATGCGGCTTCGAGCTTACTTGGTGTCTGCTAGAGTTCACAACAAGGGAAAATATGACGTAAACACGTCTTCTAAATAATAAAGGGTTTCTAACATGATACCCGCAACTATACAAAATTTAAAATAAATCATTTCGCTTACACTGAAATATCTTGAATATTTTTTTATTGCTTTATTAATTGATTTCATGGAAAATAAAAATACAATTAATTGATTTGCAAAATTGTCATTCCTGTACATGTACTTAACAACAAAAACGGAAGCAATATTTCCTGATTTCTATAAATTATCATTAATAAATATATTTCTTCCACTACCAAAGGGACTTCCAGGTAATGGCGCCCTAACCAACCTTGACCAACTCCAACAGATTTGTACAAGTGTCATTTACATCTCTAGTGTCGCACACGCAGCCACCAACTTTCCTCAGTATGACGAATATGGATTTCCACCAAAATGGCCTCTCTTGTTTTCTGGAAAACCACCGACTAATCCTGTAAGTATCATAGAGTTAAATCACTCGTACTCTCTCTAAGCCACCAACTAATCCTGTAAGTAACATTGAGTTAGATCACTCTTACTCTCTCTAAGCCACCGACTAATCCTGTAAGTAACATAGAGTTAGATCACTCTTACTCTCTCTAAGCCACCGACTAATCCTGTAAGTAACATTGAGTTAGATCACTCGTACTCTCTCTAAGCCACCGACTAATCCTGTAAGTAACATTGAGTTAGATCACTCTTACTCTCTCTAAGCCACCGACTAATCCTGTAAGTAACATTGAGTTAGATCACTCTTACTCTCTCTAAGCCACCGACTAATCCTGTAAGTAACATTGAGTTAGATCACTCTTACTCTCTCTAAGCCACCGACTAATCCTGTAAGTAACATTGAGTTAGATCACTCTTACTCTCTCTAAGCCACCGACTAATCATGTAAGTAACATTGAGTTAGATCACTCTTATTCTCTCTAAGCCACCGACTAATCCTGTAAGTAACATTGAGTTAGATCACTCGTACTCTCTCTACGCCACCGACTAATCCTGTAAGTAACATTGAGTTAGATCACTCGTACTCTCTCTAACCCACCACGTATGATTGTATGGGGCAGCGACGTCACTGCAGTGAATTTGTCATTAAATTTACCCGAACCCGTTTCTATGTTTATTTCAGCCATGCTTGCTGTTGTTTTAATTGTATATCACTCAGTGGCGCAGCAACTGCTGGTGCCGCCCGGGGCAAACCAAGGTATTTGCCCCCCCCCCCTCCCCCCACTTTCCACGATAAAAGCTCGTTATTTGGCCGATAAACCGCCCCTAATTATTAAGAACATGTTTTTCCGTCAGAGGCAGACAGCCCCCTCCATACTCACCGTTTCTACGCCACTGATATCAATATTATATTAAAAGATTTCTATTGATGCACAAAGTTTCTTTTTAATTTTAAAAAATATTTTTTTGCTTGTTCCTATTTTTACACTCTTCTTTTGCTAAGTGAGTCCATGTGCCTACACTTTGATTCTCGGGACCCTGTGCGTCAAATGTCTTTTAAAATACAGGAAACATGTTCTGTTATTCAGCTCAAAAACCAAAAGCACAAAACTGGCGAACTTAGATTCTCTATGTTTTATTTTCCTCACACAAAAGGAGGTTATCCTGCAAGAAGGAGACTTAATGAAGTGTTTGCCGGACAAGGCAACTACTTTAGCGATTATGGAAATCACCAAACTTCTCAGCACCAGTCCAACAAAGAGCCTCGGAGACTTTGAAACCCAGTACATCTTTGATCCTAAGGCCTTGGAGATTTTGGACAGGTTGGTGGCGTTAAATTATTAAATGCATACAGTATAGGCGCGCCCAGATATCTAGTATCGTCGGCATGTCGGTCCCACCCAATCATTACAATCGTTAAAATCATTATAATCATTTCAGTCAGCATCTATAGAATCGGATAGTTCCTAGTGACCTTGTTTTGTTGGGGTTGGGACGATCTACTTCGGGTGTCTCGATTTCATGTGACCCACTTTGTATTATTCGAGGTTTTGGTGACACGTGCGAGGTCAGCACGTGGTTCTGTTTAGAATATAAGAAAATGAGCAGTCTGGGGGATCTGCGCTTAGGTCATCCACTTACAAAAATACCTTCATAATAGAATTTTTTCTTCCTTTTTTTGGGTTGCTATAATTTTAAAAAAAGTAATGAAAAAAAATTAATTAATGTAACCTTTCAAATTTTAGGCCCCCCCCCCCCTCAAAAAAAACAACATAATTTTTTCTTCCTTTTTTTGGGTTTCTATAATTTTAAAAGAAGTAATGAAAAAAAATTAATTAATGTAACCTTTCAAATTTTAGGCCCCCCCCCCCCCTCAAAAAATACAACAACATTGTTGTCAAAGTAAGGGCCATTTACCTGTAGCGCTTTTGTCCAGAGGCGTTTGGTTTGGAGGCTTTTGTCCGGGGGATTTTGTCCGGGGGATTTTGTCCGGGGGATTTTGTCCGGAGGCTTTTGTCCGGGGGATTTTGTCCGGAGGCTTTTGTCCGGGGGATTTTGTCCGGAGGCTTTTGTCCGGAGGCTTTGTCTGGAGGCTTTTGTCTGGAGGCTTTTGTCCGGAGGCTTTTCTCCGGAGGCTTTTGTCGGAAGATGTCGAGAATCCGTTTTAAATATTTTAAATATTAATTGTAAAAGTTAAAAACTGAGTAAATATCAATAAATCCAGCCAGGCGACCACGTGGAACTAACGAGCAAATCTCTACAATCAAATTTGGTCGGTTTTTTTTTCCTTTAAGTTTGATCATTTTATTATTAACGTTGACGAAGTAGCCGCGTGTGAAATGGCCATGGGTAAAATGGCCATGGGTAAAATGGTTGTTGGTAAAATGGTTGTGGGTAAAATGGCCATGGCTAAAATGGTGGTGGGTAAAATGGTTGTTGGTAAAATGGCCATGGGTAAAATGGTTGTTGGTAAAATGGCCATGGGTAAAATGGTTGTTGGTAAAATGGCCATGGCTGAAATGGTTGTTGGTAAAATGGCTATGGGTAAAATGGTTGTTGGTAAAATGGCCATGGGTAAAATGGTTGTTGGTAAAATGGCCATGGCTGAAATGGTTGTTGGTAAAATGGCCATGGGTAAAATGGTTGTTGGTAAAATGGACATGGGGGAAATAGTCTGGGCGAAATAGCCGTGGTCAATCGTTATAATATAATAATTTAAAGACTGCATTCAAGGCTAGTTAATGAAATAGCAAAACGAGCTAAGTGGAAGCCGATAGATCCATTTTGTCTCTACGTCAAGCTGCCATATGTTCCTAATATTGCCTACACAGGCGGCCTGAACATAAAGTTTTATTCTAGCCAGCACCGTGAACGCTGTCTAAAGTTCCTCAGGAATGTTGTCAAGGAACATTTGACGAAAACATCTTTTCCTTACGCGTTTCTGAAGTACTTTACTCAAACTCTGTCACTGAGAATGACGTTTAGATCTTTAACGCTAAAAAAAAAAGGGACACCGTTATTTTTTTACGCCAACACTTAGTTCCGCTCGTTATAAATGTGGAATATAACTGAGAGCTCGTGAATAAATAAAAAAAATAAAGAGTGTCTCTGGGCACGGTCCACCACCTCCCCCTCCCGCACCCTCTTCCCGTGCCACTCTATCTGTGTTGTCATTCAAATGTTGCCGAGTGTGTCACTTTGGCGTTTAACAAACGATCCTTAAAAACAAAGTTTCTCGTATGCGTCATTTAAAATATGTCATCTCGAGCCATAAGGGGGGGGGGGGGGGGTTGGGGCTGAAAATTTAACAAAACATACATAAAAGTAACGCACTACAAAATGCCAATTAATACCTCCCCCCCCCCACCCACTCTCGCCCGTCTCGCAAACCACATATTTTAATCACGCCCCTGAACTATATTAACATTCTAATCGCCCAGCCGCTGTTCCACGGCAGATTTATTCCACCAACTATTTCATAAAAACAAAAGAAAATAGCACGCACCAAACGCACTTGCGATATTTTTTAAAGAATCTCATTGTCCGCAGTTATCGGAGATTTTATTTCGTGAAATCATCGTCATCCTATTTCCTTTATCATCCCTTTGAAAAAAACTACCCAGGAAAATCTGAATTTTGGGGGTTGGTGTGGGGCTGAACGTTTGATAGAATAACATATTGTCATTGGTAACGAGTAGGTTGACGGGAAGTGGGTCGATTAGTAGTCCGAAGATTATGCCAGCCACGGACGAAAGTAAGTTAATATAAAAAAATAAAAATTACTTGTAAAAACAGCGGAGAAAGAAATGTACGTAGAGCTGTAGTGATTTTTTTCACAAAGAATCAACCGGGATGATTATACATATTCTTAATGGCAGTAATGGTAGGCATTATAGTCTTTTAAAAAAAATTTGAAATTAAAAAAGTTTGAAAATTGAGCAGAGTTGCGTGTAGCTTCAAAGTCATCGATGTTCATTTTATAATAAAGGGGTTTCAATCAGGACCGTGTGAATTTGGAGGCGAAGGGGTGCAGCCGCCATGACCGCCAACATCAGGGGGCGCCAGAATCGTCAATCATCCCTATTTTTATATTGGCTTATATATAATTGATTGATTTTAAAAAAGTGACGGTTTTATATTCAGACGTCACCCCTTGCTCATCTTTTCCACTGCACAGGCGTGGTTTGCATAGCTGTGCCTTACAAAGCCTGTGGTTTGCACAACCCGTGATTTGCACAACCCGTGGTTTACAAGTCTGTAGTTTGCACATCCGTGGTTTGCACCGCCGTGGTTTGCACAGTCGTGGTTGCACAGTCGTGGTTGCACAGTCGTGGTTGCACAGCCTCATCATAAGAACATTACAAGGCACACATCAAATACTTATTTACACAATATGAAATATTTCCTCCCCAGGTTCCGCCAGGAACTTATAGATATCGGCAAAACCATTGGCGCCAGAAACGCAAAGAGGATGTTCCCTTATACCTACCTGGATCCGGTCGAAATTCCCAACAGTATCAGCATATAAATTTGTATTTTGACACCAGATTGCTGCTGGCGATTGAATTACAAGAACGAAAGAAATTTTATTTAATTACAATTTCGATTCATTATGAGTAAATATTATTTTCTACTTAGATATTCGTTTCATAATTGTAGTCTAATAAAAAAAAATGCATAATTTTTGCCAGTATATCTATTTTATTATTTAAAACTAGAAAATATCCCCCGATGCTATCGAGATAGTAAGGTAGACACATTTAGATAATTTCTTCCTTCTAATTCGAAAACTCATCATAATTCTTTTGATTAAACAAATATTTAGACACCTTATTTTCTATGTAATAATGTTTAAGTTTCTAACATCATTAAAAGTTTTCAGAATTTTTCAGTTAAATTACTTTTTTTTTAGACCTTTTTTTTCTGAACATGGCTTTAAATTACAAATTCTAAATGATCACTAATTAAACCATTTTTGTCACTAAAGGAGATCATTGACGGATGATTTCTAGGCCAGAGAAATACTTAAGATGTCATTTGTTTTTTAAATTTGTTAAATGTTGGGCCTACCCTACCACTTTTCGTGGCCCTAAGCTAAAAAAATGTATTTAAAAATTATGAACATGTATTCTAAAATCTACAACAAATCTCCATATATCATTTTAAATATATTTCATATTAACAGAATTTGATATAATGATATCTTATTTAAACGTTTCCCAAACTTTTGCCTTTGTTTTCCACTATATAATCGCAAAAAAAGTAAAACAAGGAAATTCTTTTATCCAAAGAAGTATCTCTGAATCGTTTTTCAAGCAAGTCTGTAACCATCAAGAGTGTCTTTTTCTACCAATTTAATTTTATTACTAGTCTTTTAACAATATATTCCCAATTTACTATTCGCAAGGTAAAAAAAGAAAATGTATTTTCATTTTTTGAAAGAAAATCTTAACCCATCTCTATTTTTCCACCAAAAATTTTCCCTTGTATAAAATGATTGAGTTTTAAAATGATTGAGTATTAAAATGATTGAGTATTAAAATGATTGAGTTTTGCTATTCACGTTTTGTTAACGCCATTAATTTGTGTTAATTCGTAGACATGTGACGTCAATTTATTAAAAATTAGTGTAACATCTCTTTTTCAGACCAGTAATATCATTGGATTTAAAAGATAGCGTCATCCACGTAAAAATGTACACACCCTGTACACTACCACAGTTATACATTCACCTAGAATGCTAATTATTTATCAATTCATTCCTTTATTCCAAGTCGTATCTTGTACTGCCTTCATTCCAAGTCGTATCTTGTACTGCCTTCATTCCAAGTCGTATCTTGTACTGCCTTCATTCCAAGTCGTATCTTGTACTGCCTTCATTCCAAGTCGTATCTTGTACTGCCTTCATTCCAAGTCGTATGTTGTACTGCCTGGGGCAATGTGAAATAATTGAATCCACCCCTCCGCCAGATTTTCATCAAACATCAATCAATACATGCACGGGATTGTAGCCCCTTACGTACGCAAGCAAACATTCTGTGCACGTCCTTGAAATTGATGAACATTCTTAAGTCCCAGATCCCTTTTAACATACCTTGTCTTATCTTTTCTAAAAGAAAATATATAATTCTACGCATAATCCTGTATATTGAAAAGGAATTCGTATGTATTTTAACATGTAAATCTATACTAATGTTCAAATCTGTCCCCTAATTGGGTCTTAAGATAAATATATATATATATATATATATATATATATATATATTATATTAAAGTGAAATAATTACAACTATATATGGTTTGTTCCTATTTTTCTTTTCTAAAAGAAAATATATAATTCTACGCATAAACCTGTATATTGAAAAGGAATTCGTATGTATTTTAACATGTAAATATATACTAATGTTCAAATCTGTCCCCTAATTGGGTCTTAAGATAAATATATATATATATATATATATATATATATATATTATATTAAAGTGAACTAATTGCAACTACATATGGTTTGTTCCTATTTGGAGGATTAATAAGTACATTAATGAATGCTATTGGCTATGAAGCTTCGCTGCACTGATTGACTTAAACGGCATTGTCTTATTAAAAATATATTTAAAGGTTACGTTTTTATCACTTAAAAAAAACAAAACATAATAAAATACATATTTTTTGGCATGAGAATTAAGTAAACATTTATAAACTGTAAAAAATACAAAGCTACACTTTGATGTGGTTTATTAAAAATTGAAAAAGCAATCAATTCTATTTATTAATTTTGCTTTTAATAAAGGGGAAAATACATATCAGTTTTTTCGCCGTGTGGTTTTTAAATGAAGGATCCTTAAAGCTTGGCTCAAAATAGGCAATTTGCGCTATGACGTCATGTGCGTTTTTATTTGATATTGTTTTAAGACATTTAGGTCAAATTAATTTTATTTTAATTTCCCAATAGTAACAGCGCATTCAAACGTATTAAAAAGAACGTGTGTTTTGATCTTCCCGATAAATGTTGTGGTTATGGTTTAATAAAAATAATTCTTAGATATAATGTATTATATTGAAACATTTTTCATGACTTTCAAATTCGGATAAAATGATTAAAATAGGGTACTATTTTAATCATTTTTAATCAAGTCTTATTTTTTAAAAATATTAGTAGTTTATGGTAATAATACTTTAATATTTACTAAAATAAAAGCGAATATATAATATTTTTTGTATATTTTCATTTATTCGATTTCCGTAAAATATTAGAAAATCACAATCATCGTTTTGAAGAATCCGAACATATTAAAATTAGTACATTTTTTGAGTGTTGCTTTGGATACCCTAGCTCATTCTTATATTTATATATGTGATGTAATTATTTTCAGGAGAGGAAATACATTATCGTAATAAGAATGGTCAAAACCAACACCTAAGGGAATGTTGATAAAATTAGCGTTATTAAATGTTAGCCTTCAGGTCAATATATGGATCTGATTTAACTTTAGGTGGCCAGAGTAAATAAAAGGACAACAGTTAATATACAGCAAAGCTCAATTTTGCAGTACATACTGGGAGCATCCAGTCAATCTTTCAAGAGAAACATAATATTTGATCCCGAAATAAAAAGTCAAGTTAAGAGTCAACCAGGGGATATCAAAGGCGAGATAATCTCTGTTTAATTTAAGAGTCAACCAGGGGATATCAAAGGGGAGATAATCTCTGTTTAATTTAAGAGTCAACCAGGGGATATCAAAGGGGAGATAATCTCTGTTTAATTTAAGAGTCAACCAGGGGATATCAAAGGGGAGATAATCTCTGTTTAATTTAAGAGTCAACCAGGGGATATCAAAGGGGAGATAATCTCTGTTTAATTTGGTAAAATTTCGATTTGCTATTTTTAACTTTTAAGTTGTTTTACCTCATAAGTACTGTAGCTTTGATGTTGATGGAATGAGTGTTAAATTTAATGAATTTTTGCAGATTTTTAATCAATTAAAATGTTTATGCTGTAACTTGTTGAATTGCTCCATACACAATGAATAACAGCATTTTCTTTTTGCTATTTTGACACTGCTAAACGACCTTTCTAGAAAAAATTATTTAAAAAAAACTAATTCCGTTTATACAATCCAGAAATTCTTGTGAAAGTCATTATACAATTTGATTAAGCTTATGTTAAGATATATGAAGTAGATTTTTTCAATCTAAGTCTAAATTATATGGGCCTGCAATATTTTAAAAAACAATAAAAATGAAGAAATTTAATCTCATACTTACAACTGAACATAAGTTGTAGGTATTAGTATTATAATCTTTCAATTTTTTTTTTCTTCTAATTTCTCGTGTTGTTGCTTGAAGATGAATAAACAAACTTATGGGATTATAAAACTCTCTGTCATTCTTCGATTCCTCACAAACAGATCAATACAATGGAATCAGAGAAGGTACCATTTTCCATACGCCATCGCACGTGTATTTGTTCCAATAAATGGACACTTGTAGCAAACTTGACATGTTCGGATGACATTATAGAGTGAAAATAGATTATTATGCAATGACGAACTGATTACATTTATCTCGACAGGAAACATTTTAAAAGATAAACAAACACAGCATGCTACTTATCTTGAGATTCCCATGAACTTGGAAAAAAAACAACCTACAATCATTTAGAAACCAATGGCATAGAATAGACGATTAAATTTTATTTTAAAAATAATTACTATTTAACTTGAATTGTCTAAAAATTGAAATGACTTTATCTCTCAATTATTGAACAGTGACTCTAAACTTTTTGAGACGCGTGCGTAATTTTCTCTGTAAATTTTTATTTAATGAATTGAAAAGAAAAGAAACTTTATGTTGTACGAAGCTTTTATTTCTACTTCTAAGTCAAAATGAAATGTGAATAATGGTTGGTAAACTAAGGTAGAGAAAGTACAGTTCATGGTTTATTTTATTCAGTACGAGTTATAGGTACATTGGGAGGAAAATAATTAAAGAAAGAAAGTCCCCCAGAAAGTGATGAGATTTTAGCATTGCTGCAAGGAAACCTGATGTCAGAAAGGGATAGGATCTCTGCACTGTTGCAAGGGAACCTGATTTCAGAAAGGGATGCCATCTCTGCACTGTTGCAAGGGAACCTGATTTCATAACTTGATACGATCTCTGCACTGATTGCAAGGGAACCTGATTTCAGAACGTGATACAATCTCTGCACTGTTGCAAGGGAACCTGATTTCAGAACGTGATACGATCTCTGCACTGATTGCAAGGGAACCTGATTTCAGAACGTGATACGATCTCTGCACTGTTGCAAGGGAACCTGATTTCAGAACGTGATACAATCTCTGCACTGTTGCAAGGGAACCTGATTTCAGAACGTGATACGATCTCTGCACTGTTGCAAGGGAACCTGATTTCAGAACGTGATACGATCTCTGCACTGTTGCAAGGGAACATGATTTCAGAACGTGATACGATATCTCTGCACTGTTTCAAGGGAACCTGATTTCAGAACGTGATACGATCTCTGCACTGTTTCAAGGGAACCTGATTTCAGAACGTGATACGATCTCTGCACTGTTGTAAGGGAACATGATTTCAGAACGTGATACGATCTCTGCACTGTTGCAAGGGAACATGATTTAAAGAGCGTTGCAGTTTTGAGGAGTGGTCGTCTTTTGATGACTTTATTGATGAAAGGAAACACAATTTACAAAGCACGAAATATCAAACTAGAACTAAGAAAACAAAATGAAATTTCACTTAAATATTTCCCCCTTTGGAGAAAATAAACAAAGAAGAAAAAGCAGACATAAATCAAAATATAGAAAATTAACTCATAGTATTTACCATCAACAAGCAATAAATAACTCAGAGAATTAATTTCACATACTATTTCACTTTTTACACTTGTATATGAAGCAACGTCAATGAAATGTTGACAATGAATCTTTAATGTTTTAACACCATAGATGTCATTGGCAAAAACTTAGATCTATGGAGTAAATTGTAAAAAAAACAACAACAGAAAAAACAAAAACAAACAAATAAAGAAATTCCAAATGGAACTGTTCGAAACATGAAGGGTTAAAAAAAATTACAGTAGTTTAAAGTAGTGCTGAAAAATAAATAAAAGTTATAAATTATGGAATAGTTTGCTAATAAAGTAGAAAGTATGTAAAATATATAACATAGTGATTTCTTTCTTGGCTAAGCTGAGAATCACTATCATAGATGAGTTGGTGTAGACCTATGTAACAACATTTGCTGTATTCATTCGCCACCTGAAAACATCACAGCTTGCCAACCTGGACTTGTCCACATTCTACAATGTGTTTGATATCTTTCCAGATGCTTTTATTTTTTCTGAATGGAGTTCAGTTTACAGGTAATCTAAAGAAGGTACGCTTCCTTAAAATGATGCGCTTTTTGGGAGGGAACTAATCCATTCACTTAAGAACTTCTTAAAACGGATGAAATGGTAAATTATACTTACAGAACATTACAACTTTTCTATATATAAAACATAAAATGTTGATTTTTTTTTACTCCCTTCAGTTGGTCAGGTAACAATTACGACGACCCCCACTGTCATTGAATCAGAGATTACGAAATCTCTTGTTGTAACCTGCAGATTCCCCCCACAATCATCATCTGGGTATCAAGTTTTTTCTTTAGCACTAAAAAAATTGACAGCAAATTCCACATTGGAGCAACTTGCCTCAATAAATAGAGATACACATTCCACTGTACACATAGATGTTCCGAGCTACGGCATGAGCAGTAGTAACGGAGTCATTAACTCAACGCTTGGATCATTCCTGACTCTGGAATGGGTGAACCCGATGGCCTCAGAATCTGGGACCTACCAGTGTAAAGCTAATGTCTTTAACGAAGCAGATGATATTTTTGTCTTCAATGAAAACAAATCTGTCAGTTTTACACAACCATCAGTCGGCAGTTTAACACACCTCATTTTTAAATTAGAGTCTGAGGTGAACAATAAACTACAGAGACTGGAGAAGGACTTCAGTAACATTACGACTCAAGCAAATCAAACTAATAATACACTAGAGAAAATGCAGAATGACTTCAATAACATTACTGCTCAGTCTAATCAAACTAACAATAAACTTCAGAAGCTGGAGAAGGAATTCAATAACCTTACGGCACAATCAACTCAATTTAACAATAAACTACAAAGACTGGAGAATGACTTCAATAACCTTACGGCTCAAACAAATCAAACTAAAAATAAACTAAATAGAATGGAGAATGACTTCAATAACCTTACGGTTCAAGCAAATCATACTAACTATAAACTTCAGAAAATGGAGAATGACTTTAACAACCTTACGGCTCAAGCTAATCAAACTAACAATAAACTACAGAGACTAGAGACAACGCTTCATAATTTGGAATCAACAATGTTCAAGAAATCTACAGTTTTCAACGGTCGTCAGTATTACTTGTCTCTGTATGAACCTCACTCGGCAGTCAATGCAGAAATGGCGTGTGAAGCTTTAGGTGGCTACTTGGCTGAGGTAGATTTTAAGTATGAATTTGATTTTCTAATAACATTGATAGGGACGCCAGCTGCCAGTGAAGTTTCATTTCTGCTCGGCGGCACCGACGAGGGGCACGAAGGTCGCTGGGTAAACCGTCACAGTGGAACACCTTTGGGCTACACGTCATGGCTTCAAGGTCAACCGGACAACAGTCTGTTTCACGACTTAAGAGAGAACTGCCTGGCCATGATGTACGAAGCCACGGTGAATGCCTTCGTGATGAACGACCTCACGTGTTTTAATTCAAATGGCGTCAATACGTTTTACTTCATCTGTGAAGTACCAATTTAGTATTGAAATAGCCACAACGATGAATTGATCCTATTTGGACAACCGAATGGAGGCAGTGGCATGACATGGGGCCTGCGGCTTGGGTGGGTCTGTACATGCGGAATGCGTGGGTTGTAACCTAACATTAGAGGTGATGTCTGAATAAGTGAATATTTTATTGAAAAGTCAGTATTAAAATAAATATAAACTGTACGCATTTTTCATATATCAAAATATATTTACAAATACTTGAGCATAATTACATTACTCAATTTCTTTAAAAAAAATAGCGATGAATTCGTTAAACAGCTTCTGAATATTACAACAAAAAATCATTAAAAATGTGTTTGTTGTTTCCTGTGCGTCAGTTGTGTGTGTGCTCTACAGGGACTACCACACGGATTGATGGGACTTTGTACAAAAATTACTCACTATCGTTCTGAAAGGTTTGAACTAACAAATAAATTCTTCTCTTGACCAGGGGGCATTTGTTATTAAACTCTTTATATCAACTTAGAAAATGTCCGTGGCTGGATGGTAAAACCTTCGGACGGCTAATTGACCCACTTCAAGTCCACCTATCGAGCTGAAACGTAGAAACATAGACTCGTTGCCGAAGACAAAACTTACTATCAAGTTTTCAGCCCCAAACCTAAAAAGGAGTTTTTTTTCTTATTTTTCAAAGGGAAGATTTAAGAAATTTGACTTAACATGGATACAAGTAGAACCTAACTTAGAAAAGAAGAATCCTAATTAGAGCTTTGCGCCCCATCCCCCCCCCCACACACCCTCGTGGGAAAAAAAAAAGCGGTTGCGGGACTTGGGGAGCACTAATTGGGTACTTATAAAGTGCGTTACTTGTGTTTGCCTGTTTAGTCGAACTTTTCAGCGCCCCCCCCCCCNNAAATTTTTAACGCCCCCCCCCCCCCATTGCTCGATATTGAACTTTATAAAGCATTTATACGAAAAACTTTGTTTTTGTGGGTTGTTTAATTTATTTTTATTATTTATTCCGGCTCTCGATTATATTCCACATGTAAATTTGAGAGGGAAAAAAAATTTGGCGTAAAAAAATGAGCGGTATCATTTATTTAGCGTTAAAGATATTAATGTCATTCTCAGTTACGGATTCATTCCTTTGAACGAGTACTTCAAAGTCACACAATGAAAGCATATTTTCTTACATTTTCCCTATCAACATTTCTAAGGCACTTCACTGTGGTGGCTAGAATACAAGTTCATGGTTCAGGCGGTTTGTAGGCAAGATGAAGAACATCTATGGCAGCTTGAAGTATAGAAGTTTTAAAAATCATATTTGAAGGCCCCATGATCAATTTATCGATATTTTTGGCTCCTTTTTTTGAATTCATAGATGAGTTGCCATCCAGGGCTAACGAGTCTCATCCACTCGGGGATGCTTGGGATGTTGGTTTTGGTGGGAATTAAGCTCCAGACCATCAGCTACTTGGATTGAGTCAGTTTAGACCTCTGGACCACCAATTTACTAAACGTTTAATTTTTTAATTCTTACATCCTAAACAGAACCACGTGCTGAACTGACCTCACCTGTGTCACCGAACCCTCGACTAAAACTTTGCAAAGTGGGTCACAAAACACCGAGACAGCCGGCGGCAGATTGTTCCATCCCCGGTGAAACAATGTCATAAGCAACGATCCGAATGTATAGATGTTTGTTGTCTGTCTTAAATTTGATTGGCTTTTTCGGTTGAAACCGAAACTAGGCCGAAAGTGATCCAATGGCAAATTTCGACGATGAAACCGAAGCTGAAGCCAAATTCAGTCTGTCTCTAATATTAAACACGATCAACGAACTGGTCAAATTTAAACATCAGAAAGAAAAAAAAAGTAGAGCGTCTGTTGATTAACATTTGAAAAAAAATTATATAGCTAAAAATTTCTTTTCAATCCAAACTAAAAATCGAAATTATGGCAATTTGCATCGTTCTTCCAAAGTACTTTTTCGCGACATAGTGAACAAAAACCATGTGTTGCGCAATAATTAAGAAACCATTGTAAATTAGTATTTTTAACGCCTATATTACCGTGACTGTTTTGTGAATCTTTGTCGTGTGTCAGGAGTGATTTATGTCAAATGAAATAAAAGGTTTTACCTGAATGGGGCCATTTGGAAACTTTTGATCCAGAACCAATTCCCTTATTTTTTCCTCAACTTCCGTTCTCATCTGCTCTTTATAAGCGTCGTCGTCGTATTGTGGAAGTGACGCATCAATGCGTCTGACCTGATAACATGTGTTGGGCTTCACCCAGCGGAAAACTGGAAAGACAAAAGCCTCCTTGGTCTTAAGATTGTCAACTTCGATTTTGTCCAGATACCTATCGCTGTACAACTCCAGGTTGTCTCACCAAAACTCTATCATGGATATCTTCCCTTTGTTGTACAGCTCTTTGGTTTTTCCACCGGGAATCGCGAAAGTGCACGGGGCCTTCTCATCTAAATCAGTTATGAGATGAATTTTCTCGGTGCTTTGATTCAAATCATCTTAGAGCTTGATGAACACGTTATGTATTTATTGTCAAGAACACGCCAAATAATTTAATAGTCATGTGACCCTCTGTACAAAAAAAAGTCAACCCCCCCCCCCACCTCTTCTCTACACACATGCTGAAATGTTGGCTGTCTAAGATTTTAGCGAAAAGATTTTAACCCGGACATCCATCATGTACGTCAGTGCCATGTTAAAAGCCTTACATTTATGTAGTTATGTTATTGATTACGACACAAAACAACAGACTGTATCTTTAAATTAAAATATTAATTTTTTTGGACCGAAATGGATGAAATTTTTACTTGGAACTACTTACAAATAGGTTCAATGAAAATTTCATTTCAAAATTGTTCTTACACATCTCTTTAATTTTATGAAAAATACATTTAAAAATTACAGCCTGAGATCAAGCCTAAAATTCTAAATTTAACAACCACAAGTCCCCACACTGTGCCCCCAACTGTGTCCCTCGACACTGTATCCAAACTGTACACCCAACACTGTGCACCCCCCCCCCAACTGTGCTCCTCAACACTGTCCCCCAACTGTACACCCCACACTGTGCCCTCCCCCCACTGTGCCCCCACCTGTCTCCCTCGACCCTGTATCCAAACTGTCCCCCCAACACTGTGCACCCCCCCCCCAACTGTGCTCCTCAACACTGTCCCCCAACTGTACACCCCACACTGTGCCCCCAACTGTGCCCCTTGACAATGTGCCGTCAATCCAATCAGCCAACATTCGTGCGTTACATACCTTCAAATAAAATAACAATTTTAAAAAGACATTACACAACAATCGCCTTATTCATTCAACTTGCCCAGCCTGTAGGATAAGTTCCAAAAAATAATGATAGAGCAAAGAAACAAAATTCGTCCGACCATCTACCAGTGATAAGACTAGCTGATTCAACATGACCGCGATAAAACAGTCTGTTCAAAACTGTGAGACAAAATGGCTTGAAATTCATTAAAGCACTACATTTAGGACAGACCTTCAATTTTCCCGAGGCACCTGATTAATGGTTGAATGCCTTAAACCAAATTTCAGTTCTGCTCTTGAATTATTCCTCCTCGCCGCTGGATCCCATCAGGATTATTTCGAACATTTTTCACCTCAAGATGAAGCACCGCCCACCATGTAAGTATCCCACGCATCAACACAAAGCGCGGAGGCGGTCGGCGGAGAAAAAAGAAGGTTTAAAAATAAAATATTTGGTACAGACCAGAACGAAATAGAGCGATACGGTGATGGTCCCCAAGCTTCATTAATAATCTTCATCTTCCTCTATTGAAAAAAAAAATTGAATACGCCAAAACAAAGTTTTGTTCTATAAGTGGATACAATTAAGCTTGGCGCCCTGTTAACCGTCAATAAAAATAATATAAAAAACATTAATTTTCCGATAGACTTGAGAGGAGCAAAAAAATGTAAGTGCAGAAAAGTGTATCCCTGAGTTATCGCCCGCTCTCCTGTACGCTACTGAATGTTTATAATGTTCATTGGGTCATCAGCCACAAACTTAAGATATGTCCCTCCATCAGCCACAAACGTAAGATATGTCCCTCCATCAGCCACAAACTTAAGATATGTCACTCCATCAGCCACAAAATTAATATATGTCACTCCATCAGCCACAAATTTAAGATATGTCCCTCCATCAGCCACAAGTTAAGATATGTCCCTCCATCAGCCACAAGTTAAGATATGTCCCTCCATCAGCCACAAACTTAAGATATGTCACTCCATCAGCCACAAACTTAAGATATGTAACTCCATCAGCCACAAACTTAAGATATGTAACTCCATCAGCCACAAACTTGAGATATGTCACTCTGTCAGCCACAAGTTAAGATATGTCACTCCATCAGCCACAAACTTAAGATATGTCACTCCGTCAGCCACAAACTTAAGATATGTCCCTCCATCAGCCACAAAATTAAGATATGTCCCTCCATCAGCCACAAACGTAAGATATGTCCCTCCGTCAGCCACAAACTTAAGATATGTCACTCAATCAGCCAAAAATTTAAGATATGTCGCTCCATCAGCAACAAGCTCAGATATTTAAGATATGTCACTCCATCAGCCACAAACTTAAGATATGTCCCTCCATCAGCCACAAGTTAAGATATGTCCATCCATCAGCCACAAACTTAAGATATTTCACTCCATCAACCACAAGTTAAGATATGTCACTCCATCAACCACAAACTAAAGATATGTCACTCCATAAAAAAAAAACACTTAAACTATTTTATTGATTGGCAAAAACAATTTGAATATAATAGATTTATTTTTTTAAAAAACGCCCTCTGTGTGGCTGTTGGTTAATTTTGCTGGACTATTTAGGATATCATTGAATGAAGACGCGCGAGATCAAAGACAACGTCCTAAAAGTTCATTTAAGTGTGGGCATGCCGTCGTGAATGTGTGTGTGTAACTTTGTGTGTGTGTGAACTGACTGGTGAAAAGGAACATTCACGTTGTAGAATCTCATTATTCGTTTCATTAACTTCATTTAAACTAGTGATGTTGTCTGTCATTGCAAAGCTGGAAGTTGTAAAAGTTAAAACAACAGTGACACGTTTAGCGTGGTGGGTCTGTGCTCAGCTGCAAGAGTGTCTGAGGACGAAGCGTGCTTTAGAAATGCCATAAACTAAATGGATGTCTTCACTATATGTGTAAACATGTAGCTCGGTTGAAACGAGTAATTAAAAAAAACCAGCATGAACCATTGTAAATAAACATTTGTCAGCAAGTCTTATAACTTTCAGCCATGACGTAAATAAACAT